GAATCGAACTCATGCTGAAGTGGCTTCAGCTTCTCAGTGCTGTGCTTTAACCCCCTGCACCACCAGGGAGGGCCACATTCCTCTTTTGACTGTTAAGAACCCTTGACTGTTGATGCTAGCTTTGATGCTACCAAAGGGAAGGCTGATCAGAATGCATGTTGTTGACGGCCGTCGACTTCTGATGTTGAACAAGAGATTTTACCCCCATTTTCCTCAGACATTATTTGCCAAAATTCATTTGGCATGAAAAATATAAATTGACATCTCAAATTGTTTCTTGGTCTTATCAGCCTGTGAAAGCTAATAGGACCCATTGATTTTTCTAATGAACTCAATTGTTTAGTGCTGATGGAGGGTCTTGTGACTGAATGGGAATTCCGCCCTCTGCGTCCCTGTCTCCTGCCTTTGGAGGTGGTGCTTCTTGGGTGGAAAGGGAGCGTGGTCATTTCCACTTGAGAAAATTGAAAGCGTAATGCTGGAACATTGCAAACTGGCTATGTTATGTAACTTGCTGCCTTGTGTTTCTGCATGAGACCTGACCTTATGTCCCCATTATTTCCTGTGAAAAACCCTATAATAAGCAGTTTTTCAGTTGATCTTTAAAATAATCCTATGCATTTCATTTCTTTATATCACTCTAGCTTCTCTTACCTTGACCAAGTCTGTCCTAATTTCATTTCTTAGGGAAATGATGAAATTTTTTGTGTGCGTTTCTTTTCTCGATCTTATAAATCATTTCTTGGCAATGCCGCTTTTTCTTTTTCTTTTTTTTAAAGATGTATTTATTTATATATATAGAACTGGGGTACAGGCCAGAGGTGCAGGGAGTGAGAGGCTTCACCAGAGACAGAGTGGGGAGCAGAACAGGCAGGCAGACTGAAATACACTGCTGAGGGGAGCAGCGGGTAGATGAGGAGAGGTCTGCTGCACCCTGTGGGTCACCCCCTGGCTGGGGATCGAACTCTGCTGGAGTGGCCGGGAGAGCTTCATAGTGCTGTGCTTTAACCTGTTGTACCACCAGGGAGGGCCCAATGCTGCTTTTTCTGTTTTCAACTTAGATGAATCTGTGCATTGTATTTTATCTGACTTGTGTGATTAGTAATTTTTCTTATTTAAGTGTAGCCTGTGACAGTTTGCCTTGCTGATCAAACAAAAGTTTACATACCTACCTGAGGGGATTGACAAAGTCTCATTGATGTGACTTCAGCATTTCTAAATCCTATCATAGCAATGACAGTACAGTAAAATTTAAAACTGCAGCCCTGAGCATTTCAATAACTGGATGACAACATTTTCAATACTCTTAGTATACAATTTCTGAGCTAGCAGTCCAGCTGTTTTCCCTGTGGGACCTGGGATATTGCAGTCTTTAAAGCAGTGGAAGCGCTTGATCTTACAGAGCAGCATGTGTCTTGTCATCCATCAAAGGCAAAATGGACACAAACTTGAATCCCAAGAAATTTTAGCAAATTCAAGACAATATTTATAGCATTTATATTATAGTAGTTTAGTAATTCTTCAAACTAGTGAAAATGTTAATAATCATGAACGCTTCATCACCAGTGGACAAATGTAACGCTTCCTTACTCGTGCACATGGCCTTCAAGAAAGGCGCTATGCTGTAGAGGCTGTTGTGTGACCAACATCTTAGAAGTGACCTTGCTTTGCACTTCTGATTCACATAGCCCAACAAAATACATGTAAGGGTTATGCTCCAGTGATCTTTAATAGTTCGATCATGTTGTTTCTTTTTTTTTTTTAAGACGTATTTATATATATATACAGAACTGGGGTACAGGGCAGAGATGCAGTGGCAGTGAGAGGATTCACCAGAGACAGACTGGGGAGCAGAACAGGCAGATCTTTTGAAATACACTGCTGAGGGGAGCAGATGGCAAGACAGGAGAATTCTGCTGTGCCAGTGGGTCACATCCTGGGCCAGGGATCGAACCCTTGCTGAAGCATATGTACCTCGCTTAGCAGTGCTGCGCTTTAACCCATTGTGTCACCAGGGAGGGCCCCAATCATGTTATTTCTGTGTAAATTGCAATATTATGGATTTTAGCCTGTCACCAATCCAGATGATAGAAGCTTGTGGTTTCTACTATAAGTGTATTCTGCCTTCTACACCCTGCTTTATCTGTGCGCTTTGTAACCTTAAATGAGCCTGTCTGACTTTGCCAGTTTTTACCCTCTCTGTGTTGTCAGTCCTGTTGGCATTTCAGAAATTCTCCTTATTTTGAAGTTTTTTAAATATGGGAGATAGTTTATGTATTGCCCCAAATGACAGCTTCAGCTCATAAATCAAATCAAATTAAACCTAGTGCACTTCCTGCAGTTTCAAAACCCCATTATGTTTACAAACAGATTGAGGTGACAAGACACTCCTTTATTTCTTGATGCCCCTTCAGTCTGCCCTCTGCCCTTGGGTCACTATGCAGTTCCATCGGAATGTTGAGAAGGTTGATTTCACATTACAGGAGGGTTTTCCTTCTTTGTTTCTCAGACCTGGTCCTGTAGATGAGAAGGAGCCTGGACACGGCGACATTCTCAAGGGCCTTGCAGGGCCGCCATGGCTTATGATGACTCCGTGAAGAAAGAAGGTATGGCCCCTTAATCTCAGAAACATTCCAAAGAGGGTGTCCTCTTCAGTCCTTTCAGCTCATGAACATAGAGACCAGGACTGGCCACAGCCTGGACTCTCCAGTGATGGTCCAGAGCACTATTATGATACTCGGCCTCCACATCATCCCAGACCGGGCCCATGGAACCGAAAACCAGGACAGGGTTCCAACACGAGAGTCTGAAATAGAAGTCTGGCCTATTGGGTGAGCTCCGGCCGCACTCAGGGTCCTTGCCAGCTCAGTATGCAGGAGTCTGGGGACAGGAGTCGCTCGCTGGGCTCACACAGAGCAGCACAGCACGCGAATGCTTATTCTTTTCAGCCTTACCTCTGCAAGTCTGTGTCCACCTGCCAAATCACAGCTAAGAACCATGTCTGAGGATGCACACTGGGCCTTTGCGTAGCGTGGAGCGTTATTTCTTCAGGTTTGAGTCCTTCATTTGCAGTCAAGCCGTCAAGAAATGTTCTTGTCCCTTTGGAGCTAGCCCTGTATTCCCATGGACTTAGTAAAACATTTAACTCAGAAGTGGGGGGCTGTTGTATTACACGTGTCATATGGTTGCCCTTGTGACTTTCTCATGTCCTTTCCCAATTGAACCTGTGCTTCTTAGATTGCTTTGACGGTGACCACAGCTTTGAAGACATAGGACTAGCAGCTGGCCGAAGCCAACGAGAAAAGAAACGCTCCTACAAAGATTTTTTAAGGGAAGAGGAAGAAATCGCTGCTCAGGTCAGGAATTCTTCCAAGAAGAAGTTAAAGGTAAAAGTCTAGACATTTGAGTAGGGAAAGTTTGAAACTATTCCTGATCTTTGAAGAAAGAAGCATTTTCTTAAATTTCTTTTTAAAATGCTTAAGGAGGAAAAAAATAAACACCTTTCATGTCTATTTTATTATTTCATGTGTTTTACTTTGTTTTCCAAAGTCAGAAATCATCAGAGGACAGGATTGGGACCAACTTCTTTTGCCTCATCATCATCTTTATTAGTCCGTTCTCTTTGGCTCTAATTCCAGGACAGTGAACTTTACTTCTTGGGGACGGACACGCACAAGAAGAAAAGGAAGCACTCCTCTGATGACTACTGCTATGGCGGTAAGGGTGGGAGAGGGCAGCAGGTGGGGTAGACACGTCATGGTTCTTGGAGTCGGGGTAGGGGAAAGGGATCCAGATGTTGCTGACTCAGTGGCCTATTTAACAGGACAGTGGTTCTTGTTCTGAGTGCCGATAAACCAGTTGAAGGAGCAGAGAGGTGGAGGGCTGGTATTTTGGAGGATTCAGCATAGAAGAACAGTCTTCATTTGTGATACACCAGGTACCAGGTTCCTTCTCCCCCCAATCATCCACTTATCTTGTGCCCATTGTTATCTAGCATCCCTCTTGCCATTCGTAGGCTGGGCCTCTGGCCGGCGCCTGTGGGTTACTTCTCAATGGAGTGCGTATCTGCTCACAAGACCAGTTTTTCTTAGCTGTGTTATGCACACAACTGACAAGACTAACCCTTTACTAGAATGGGTTTGTCCTGAGCACAGAAACAAGTAATACTGTGTCTACAGTATAATTCAGATTGTAACTACTCCTAATCCCACAATTCTAGTCCATTCTTCTGGGTTTGCTCTCTTTCGTTGCTTGCGAAGACTCAGTGAAGAGAAACAGCTTTGGCAAGAACTGTCTCCAAGGTCAGAGGCAGAACCTACCAAGTCAAGAGGCACGAGGGCATCATCTTGAATGCTAGGGATCAGTTAAAGGGCCTCCCTCAACTCATTCCTCTTAGCCGCTTCCTCATGTTAGTCGGATGTTTTGGTAAGAAAACTTGCTGGGCGTTGCTTTTGTCATATGGACACTACTTCTCTTGATTATTTCTAGATATTTCGTCTTTGGAATCGTCACAGAAGAAAAAGAAGAAATCCAGCCCCCAGTCTGCTGATACGGCTATGGACCTATTGAAAGCTATCACTTCCCCTCTGGCAGCAGGCTCAAAACCTTCCAAAAAGATGGGGGAGAAATCCGCTTGCTCTTCCAGCCATTCAGAGAGTAAAAAGGAACACCACAAGAAGAAAGTAAGTGGGAGCAGTGGTGAGCTGTCCCTGGAGGATAGTTCCCACAAATCCAAAAAAATGAAACCGCTGTATGTGAACACAGAGACGCTGACCCTTCGTGAACCTGATGGTTTAAAGATGAAACTGATTCTCTCACCCAAGGAGAAGGGAAGCAGCTCAGTTGATGAGGAGTCTTTTCAGTACCCCTCGCAACAAGGAACTGTGAAAAAATCCTCTAAGAAATCGGCTCGAGATGAGCCGGGTGCTTTACTCCTAGGACACGAGTTGCAGAACTTTCTGAAAACTGCCCGGAAGAAGCACAAGTCCTCCTCAGACCCACATTCATCTCCTGTCCCCGAAGGCTGTGGCTCTGACGCCTCTCAGTGCCCGGAATCCCACAGTGCTAACCTTGACCTTTCAGGGCTTGAACCTATTCTAGTAGAATCGGAATCCTCCTCTGGAGGGGAGCTGGAGGCTGGGGAGTTGGTAATAGATGACTCTTACAGGGAGATCAAGAAGAAAAAGAAGTCAAAGAAAAGCAAAAAGAAGAAAGACAAGGAGAGGCATAAAGAGAGGCGACACTCCAAGTCCAAGAGAAGTTCGGGACTGCCCTCTGCGGCCACGGGAGAGGGCCCAGGCGTGCCGGGCCCAGCTCCTCCCAGCACCCCCTGCACTGCAGCCGCTGCAGCTGCCCCTCCCCCACCGCTTCCTGGCCTTCACCCAGATGGTCATGGTGAGAAAAAAAAGAAAAAAGAGGAGAAAGACAGAGAGAGAGAGAGAGGAGAAAAGGTAAAACATCTTTTTAAGTGTGTGGGGGTGGGGAGGGCAAGGGAAGAGCAAGGGCAAGAAGGGTTTCTCCTTGACAGTGGTAAGTGACTTGGTGTGAAGCAGTGGGGTGTTCACTGGCAACTTGGCAAGGTGAGGGTCTGCTGGAGTGATTCAGAATAGACTGTAGACTACCAATGGCCAAGTCTGGTGCAGAAATAGGAGCAGTCTTAATTATTCATGGGCTTTCTCGAGTGGCTCCCCGTTGGGCCAAGCATAGGTTTAGGAATGCTGGCTTGTTCTGTCTGGTACTCAGAATTCATAGAAAGAGCTGATCCTCCTTTCTCTGTCCCTGAGCAGCACTGGGGAAGTTGAGAGGTAGGAAACAACGCTCTGTGCGTTCATTCTGAAAAGCAGATTTTCCAAGTGAGGAGCTTGCTGACAAGCTCACAGCTGCAGCTGCACACGCGCTCTTGACACGGGAGCTGGGTGGGACCGAGCTCTTGACCTTAAGAAGCTGCCCTTCTGTTGAGAATGAGACGTCAGCCACCTTGGTGGGTAACTTGAGAAATCTAGCAGCTGTATGTTAGGGATGATGACTATGTCATTAAAGGTTTCCTTTAAAATACAACTTGTCTCCCCAATATCAAAGTAATATTTTTGTATGAAGTTAGAAATTGAGAAGAGTGGAAAGAAATCAGCGTTGCCACTGAAGGACATTTTCTTGCTTTGTTTATTGACATGTCAGATATCTGAAAGGAAAGCTACTAAAGAAAGGACAAATCAAATGGATGAAGAGTTTGGGGATGAAAATTTCATGTGTGAATATAATTGAGCTGCTGTTTTCTCTGCTGTGAAGGATGCCTTTAAGAAAGCATAGATAATAAAGAGAGCACAGAAAGAAAAAGCAAAAAGACTACTTTCTCAGCCAAGAGTCAACATGATTATTAAAAAAAAAAAAAAACTGGGTAGTTAAATACTGGATCAGGTTTTACTCATTTTTGTGGGTGAAAATTACTTCATGAACTAGCATAAATTTTGTGTAAGATTCTGTTTGTTCTACGTATCTCTGGTGACATGAACTAGCCTTACAGTAGTGCCAAATGGGGCGACCAGGGCCGGCAGTGAACTCTTGAAGCTGAAAGGATTTCAGTTTGGGGTGCCCAGTTGCAGGGAGATGTTTAGGGAGTGGCATAGAAAAGTAATAGGGTGGGGAGCAGAACAGGCAGATCTGCTGACTAGCTGTGCTGAGGGGAGCAGCGGGGAGACAGGCGAGGGCTGCTGCGCCATGTGGGTCACTCCCTGGCCGGGATCAAACTCGTGCTGAAGTGGCTGCACATAGCTTCATGGTTTCATGCTGTTGAGACTTGAGCCTTGTGCCTCTCAGGCTGTCCCCACAAAGTATTTTTGCGTCAGGTATCATGTCTTTTAAACCTGACCTGTGCGTAAGAATTTCTAAGAGAGTTTTTAAAACATAGCCTCTTTCTAAAGACTTTTGTTTCAATATAAAGAGGAACTATTTAGACATTCATCGAGAGGTAGAAAGGAATGCCTCAGGATTAGCTTCCTCTCATCCCCACAGTGAGCAGGCCTCAGAGCTAGCCAGCAGAAGTGTGGCAGGCTCATTCTGCCCTTTCTAAAGAGTTGAACTAGTGAAATAGCCAAGCCATGAGGTTTAGATGTCAAGGGGTAAACTTGAAGAGATTCATCATGTCAGGGTGGCTAGGAGTGTGGGCTTGGGTCTGGGTCCTTGCAAGTGCCGTGATGGAGGATAAACTGCAGTGCTTTTCCATCTGCAAACTGGGGATTGTAAAAGACCAATCGATAGAGTCGTTACGGGTTAGATGAGGTAACACATGTAAAATTGTTTAGGGCTCCATGGTGCCAAGAGCCTCTGGGATGATGCATTTAATATAATAGTTTAAATATTTAATATAATAAGCATATTAAATTTTATATGATAAGTATATTAAATGTAATATAATAAGTATATCAAATTTTCAAGAGACACAGCATTATGTGACATCTGTCAGAGACTTTGTGGATCTTAGTTTACAGGTAGGGTTCAAGCCCTGGTTCAGAGTGATTCACAATTTCAGCATCTTCTGTTACATTCTCTTCATTGGTGCTCCGTCCTGTTGAAGCTGGGGGATCAGCTAGAGGGATCAGGGTTGAAGTGCAGTGGTAGAGCCCGGGGGCGGGGGGGCCGGGGGAGGGCTAGACCGGCTTAATAGGTGGAGGGGTGAGGTGCACAGGCTTACCAGGACTTCGGACTGGTAAAAGGGAGATTGGGGCCCTCTCCCTCCCGGAAGGCAGAGTTTTAGGGTGGGTTGTTTCTTTCTGTTAGTTTTGTATTCTGTGGAATCCTGTTTTCTATGGAGGAGTAATATCCATTTTCCCCTAAAAATCTTCCCATTTGAATGGAAGTTTTTTATTTACATTGGAGGAGCAGGATGTGATGGTATTTCAAATATACCTTACTGATAGTTTTACGAAATCAATAAAAACCCATTCATCCTCACTCAAAGCACTCCCTGTGTGTTACTCTTCAGAGGCCTGCCTTCAGTCTTCTGGACGTTGCCAGGATGTTCACACTTCCTCAAGCCTAGTGCCTGGCACACTAGAGCATTGTTGTTAGGCTAGTAATGCAATAAATTCTGAGGTATACCTAGACTGGAGTAGTGTGACAAGTTCTCTCGGGTAAAACAAGTTGAGCAAACAGAATAAATGGTAAAATTGAATAACTGCCACCCGCTGAGCACTGTGGCTCTCGCTCTCCTAGGCTTGTACGGAACGTCCTAGGCCAGAGGAAACCGGCAAAGCCTGCTAGCGTCTGGGATCTGTCTGTCGACTTGCCCGTGTCTTTGAAGCATTCAGCCACTTCTTTGTAAGTGGCTGAACACTTGGACTGGCATTCAGTGGACTTGGATTCTGGTTCTGGCCTCCTGCTGGCTTTCTCTTGGATGCACCCCCAGGTGCACGTTGGCAGGGCGGGCTTACTGAGGCTGGATTAGGTGAGGCACCGTGCTGCACTGCCATCACGGTGTTGGCTTCGTTCTTAGTCTCACAAAACATCAAATAAACTGGAAAACTTCTTCCTAAAACTTTTTCCAGCCCCATATTTGACATTAAACTAAGGAAGGAGACAACATTTATATGTTTTTTGTTTTGTTTGGCTTTTTCATATAACACTCCACTTTTTAGGAAGCAAACCCCACACTTAACTGTTTGGAAGACACTTATGGGCCAGAAAAAACCCAGGGTCTGCGTAGCGGGACAATTATAAGCAAGTTTCCTGCCGCTCATGTGAGCTCTTCATGGGTTCTGGGGAAGAAACATTGGCCAGTCACATGACCTTCTGACCCTGCTTAATTTGTAGAATGGGAGACTAGTACCCAGTGTACTTAACTTACCTACAAGGGTGTTGTGAAAATTGATGGATTGAATGAATGCATATTCAAACCTCTCTACACAGCTCTCAGGCTGAAGCTTGTTCAACCCGTATTTTTTCTGCACTGAAATTGTGCCAGGCACTTGCTGGGTGAATGAGATACATCGTTCTATCTGAAGAGCTTAGTGCTAGAAAAGGAGTCTGTTGAACCTTAGGAGAGGATACTAAGGGTGTGCAGGGGAAGCCTGGGAATATCAGCCAGAGCTTCCTGGAGGAGGTATCTGAACCGAATCCTAACGCCAGGTATGAATACCAGGTGGGTAGTCGTAGTGGGCATTACAGATAAAGGATGAAAATTACTGAGGACCTGAGGCGTGACAGGGCATTGGCTGTTCAGAAGGCCACCAGAAGACGTATAGCCAAGAATGTGTAGAGGAGCAAGACTGCAAGGCCTGTTTTCCCAGAGGGGGTGGTAGAACCGAGGAAGAGTTGCTGAACTGCTTTAGTAGCTGTATTTAGTGTGGTTTTATTATGTTTTCAGCACTGCACTAAGTTTATATTTGGGATATCAGTGAATCGTCATAAGGTGTAGGTGTAATTATTCCCATGTCACAGAAACAAGCTCAGATAAGCTTGTTTAACCTGTCGTATGACACAGCCTAGTTTAGTTGTAGAACGGAAATCTGAACCTAGCTTTTCTGATGGCGGCTTCCATCTGCTGTTACTTTATGAGAGATGGCAAAGGTAGAGTACATTTTGGCTTAAGCAAAAGCTTTGGTGTAGAGGTTTTTACTTCTCTGGTTCCCTTTCTTCAAGCCAGCGCAGAACCAGCATCTCAGTCAAGACAGTTCAGAAGGGTCTCACGGCTACGAGGACCACTCCAAAGCCAGGCTGCCTGCGTTCCGGTGCCGGCCATGCGTCTCCACAGGTTGAGGTCTTAACGCTTGTATCAGCGACTGGATTGAGTTCCTTCATCAGTAGAAAAAAGCAAAGATTTATTTCTCAGATTCCTAAATTGCGTGTGCCTTAATCCCAAACGTTTTATCCTTGGAAGCAGGTTCCTAGCCCAGAGTCATAGATGGGCTGGCAGAGGTTGTTGAGTGGTCTAGGTGCTGTGGTGAACATCATCAGCTGTTCAGGGTTCCTGCTGTGAAATTACACCTCGGAACTTGTCATTGAAACTAGTCATAAAATATCCAAGTTCTCAAAATGTTAATTAACATTTTGTTAAATTAAAAGAGAGTCCCTGGTACTCCAGATGCGGCCTCTGTGATGATGCCTTTGGGGAGGCCTGGAGCAGAGGCATTGGCCCTGCAGTGAGAGTCACCGGGAAGTGAGTGTTGGACAGGGGGCTCTGAGGTCAGCCATAAGATGAGCGTTAGTGGTCGGTTTCTCTTCACAAAGCCCGTTAGGAGATCCCGTGGTGAATGTGGGAAGATTCGTCCAGCAGAATGGCAGCCCATGCAGCGGGATCTTTCTCTCCTCAGCATCTGACGTGGTATAAGCGGCTTATGCTCAGGAGCCATTGCTTATTTTTAAATTTGGTTAACTGCAAACATCAGAGTCATACTTGGGTAGAGAGCTGTGCACACTGAGGCAGGTGTACAGGACCATCTGGGGAAACAGGTGTTCGTTCCTGTCACACTCCAGCAAGTAAAGTATGCTCTAAAGTGCATATCCCAGACTAATCAATTCCCTCCCCTCCCACCTCCTCCCTCCCTGCTGCCTTTCATCCTCTCTCCCCTTCTCTCTGGTGTGGCCAGCCACATATTCTCTGCTCCAATCTGTGTAATGCCGCCTGGTCGTGCAATGGGGCAGTATTTGGAGGGCAGAGCCTTGGAGCATTTGAGGAGGTGAAGCTGCTACTAAGTCAATAAAAGGTATTAGCACCCAAGCCCCTTGCTGTAGGATGTCTGAGCGGGACTGGCCTCGCCAGAAGAATACTAAAATTAGGGCCTGAGCTGTTGAAGTGTTTGAAGTGAAGGCTTTGCTGCTATTTTCTTTTTCTGATTTAGGTCAAATGATGTTTCACCCTATCCTTCACCAAAATTTCTATTTTTGAAAAACCTTGTGTTGACTTTTTGGATGCCTCACCTATTTTGAAGGGACATAGAAGGAATAGAAAAGAATTTACAGCAGCTTCCTAATTGTGGAGTAACAGAGCACCACCCCCTTAGTCTGAAACCACATCCAGAACACATTCTGAGAATCAGAAGTTCAGACGGAGCTCAGCAGGGCTCTGTCTCACAGCTGGGCGTGGCCAACCTGCTGTCCTCCAGGCTTGAGGTTCTGCAGGTTGTCACCACTCATCCGGGATGTTGGTTGCATTCGGTTCCCAAACACTGCCAGTTTACACCCTTAGAGTAAACAGTCGTCCAAGTTTTACTACAGGGAAACTATAGCTCAGAATGGCGCAGACTGGCACCATCGTAGGCGTGTGGGCAGAATTCTGGCTTAGGTCTCTTAGGCTCTGAAGCTGGGCTCTCCATTTGGCCACATTGTCTGGTTAAATCCAGCCCCCTCCCTCCTTCCCTCCAGCCCCACTGTCGCAGCTATTAGCACATGCTGTGCCCTGTCTGCAACCATCAGCCACGCTTCATCCTGCCAGTTCTACCCAACCTTCGCATCTGGGTTGTCATTTCCTCCAAGGCTTTCTTTGACGCCACCATTAGGTGGGGTGCTCCTGTCACGCATGTCCCATGGTGCCCAGCGCTTGCCCCATAGGTCCATCCGCGTTTCTTGTCATGACATTTATCTGTGTGTTAGTATATGTGTCTGATTCTTGACCATAGTATCAGTTCTGCCACTATAAATGTTTCTTAATAAAGAAACTTTATTTTCCTGTTGTCCTTGAATTCTTAGTCCAGCTTTTCCTACTTTGCCATTGAAATACTTTTAAAGCATATGTCAGAAGCGTCCACTTCTCACCGTTTTATTCCAAATCACATCGCTGGTGTAAGGTGAAGCTGGGAAAGGTGGTGGGCCTTTCAGCTTTAAATCTTACCCGTCAGCCACCATTTCATTGCTGCTTAACAGCCTTTGAGTAAGACATGGACTATATTCAATATCATGCTAATAGACACTAGTTCGTTTTCTACATAAGTAAAGTCTTTTATTTGAGTTACCAAAGGAAACCCCTCCTAGGTATGTGATTTTTAGATAGAATTATTGAGCAAGAGTTGTGTTTAATTTTGTAAAAGAGGTTTGGATTTTATAGTTACAGATAGCCTTGTGGACTCTAGCAAATTAAGCTTTTGTGACGTTATGTCATACTTTGGCTGTGTATATATAGGCTTCCTCAAATTACTCTTTCGCCATGTATTCTAGCAAATATCAGGCCTATGGGTACACTGTTTCAGAAAGGTTAGTCTAGGATACTTGAAGCTAAATTTGTACTGAAAATATTTTTACATGCAAAGAAGTATTGTTCCTTTCAAAGCAGTTATTTTGGAGGTGTTCCAGGAATGTTTCCATGCTTTACAACAGTTTCAGAATTTGTTTGTTTTGCGATTAAAGTCAGTCATTACATAAACTTTTTTACTGGCAAGTCTTTAGCCTTTAAGGGTAGTTAAGAATGAATTCAGGTGAACAAAGTGTGTGATTAGGCTTAGGTTAAACCAAGATGCAATGCGGAAGTCATCAGCAGGACTGTTATTTATTGGCTTGCTTTGATCATAAAACCTGGCTCTAAGGCACATGCGAGTTCCCAGGAGCTTTTATGGCGGCAGATGTTCGTGCAGAGCATTAACTTCAGGACTCGACAGGACTAGGAGGCGTCCTCTCCCTCCCTGGGAGATGGAGGGTCATCGTCATGTTTCAACTCACAGATGAGGTTTTCAGTGAAGTGGTTCTGGAAATGTCTCCATTTGTTAAATAAAGATTATGAAGGGAATTGTGTAAATGATAACTTCTTTTCTGTAGAAAGTAATGTTTTCTTCCTTTGGCTCATAACACATAACCCTGGAAGTCAGCCTACAGGATTAGGTCATCTTGGTGTTATAACTGGTCTAGTTGTGGGAGCCAAGCCAGACACTTTCTGAGATTCATTTTTTATTCACCTTTAAGATGAGAGGTTTGCACAGATACTCTCAAATGTGGCTTTTAAGATAGGAAAACTTAACGTCACCTCAGTCTATGGGTAGTTGCAGAAGGGTATTTCATAGTATGTAACACAATCTTTCATGTCATATACTCCTTGAACTGGCTTTAAAAACACATTTGCTTTTTGTTTCTCAAAATTTTTGTTGTGTCTGGAACTATCCTAATACAATAAAAAATAAATATTCTTCAAGCAGTGCGGAGCAGTTTGTTGACTTGAAAAAAGCTCATCTTACATTGACTACCAAAGAATTGTCTTTGTTTACTTATTTACCTCTCACCTTGAAGCACAAGAATGTAATAAGTAAAATAATGGTGAACTACAAATGATCAAAGCAGCAGCATGAGGACAGTTTTAAAATTAGCAATCAAAACCAAAGGAACAAAAAGAGCATGGACTTGACCCCAAAGTTCAGAGGGAAATTATATGGTTCTTTGAAAGATGCAAAAGACATACCGAGGAGAGGTGAAGCTTTTCTTACTTAGTTCTGAAACAGGTAACATGGAGGGGTAGGTAGGAAAAATGAAGGGCACAAATCATTGGTCTATAGTTGCAACCACCTGAAAAACCTGGAAGTGATTTAACATGTGGTTTCTACCTTCTAGAAGTGAAAGAGATATGTATCTTTCTCAAGTAATGTGGATGACACGGGAATGGTCCAGTTTGGGGAAGTCAGTCCTCTTCCCTTTATGAAAAAGTGCAGCTGTCTTCTATTTTGTTACCTTAGAGTCTCATATTCTGACTAAGCCTCCCCCTGTTCTGTTTTCCTGGGCACTAGCCAAAAAAGAAGAATATGTCAGCCTACCAGGTGTTCTGTAAAGAATATCGTGTGACCATCGTAGCTGACCACCCAGGTATAGGTAAGAACATTTCTTTCTCTTTTCCGTTGTATCTCCTGGTAACCCAGTCAGCAGGTTCTTTTCCATATTATTAAAAGAGCACAATCTCATGTTCTTCTGCAGTTCTGCTTCTGAGCTGCTCTAGGCCAGTCACTTCGGATTTTCACCTAGCTCAGCCCATGCATAAAAGAGAGAAGCCTTCTATGTATAGCTCTTCAACTGATAAGTTGGGAAACTGAGTAAAATGAAATGTTGTGGAATCTATTGCATAGATATCCAGTTTACTTCCAAGATTCTGCAGTTGACGTTGTCCTTAATCTGGGGTTATACAGTGATTTGTATTATGTTTTTCATAGTTGTGTCTGTATTAGAAGTTATGAGGTGACAGAAACACTACCCCACAGACCTTGGGCAAGTCACTTAATCACATTTGCTTGATGTGTCCAGTAGCTTCCTGACCCTCTGGGTTGCTGCGAGGCTCACGAAAAGGGCCCTGGCGTTTGGGTGGAATGCGCTGCACAGTGAAGCCTGCTTCTCTGTGGGTGGAAGGGCAGCATCACCCCAGGGCTGCTTCTGAGCAGCTCTAGGCCAGTTCTTTGGCTCTGAACTCCTGGAAGTTCAGTAGAACTCCAGCATCTTTCATTAAATTATCGGTAATACATTTTCTTCAACCTCAGTTGATAAGCCCTGTGTCATAGGATCAAATTAAAGGACTTTAGAAATGTGGTTAAAGGATGAATCCCAAAGAACAGATGTGAATGAATTTGAGGCTATTTCATAACCACTAAAACAGCCCCTCTTGCTTGAAAAGAAACAACTAAAGTAATGGAGTTTGGTGTGGCCCTGAAAGAATTTTGTGTTGTATCTGGTCTTCCGAACCTTTTTCCCAGGGAGATGGTAGGATACTTTTAAAAAAAAAAAAGTCCAGATTTTGCTCTCATCTCATAAACTTTGTTTTTAAATAAAACATTACTGTATTGTTTTTAAATAAAACATTACTGCTATTTCATGGCAGATTTTGGGGAACTTAGTAAAAAACTGGCTGAAGTGTGGAAGCAATTGCCAGAAAAAGACAAATTGGTAAGTACACTTTCGTACAAAGATGTTTTTCATTGCTTTATGCTTCTAAAATGTGTGATTCTCCTGTGGACCACCCAGCTCTCGAACTGCTACGATGGGAGACTGAGTAAAATGAAAGGCTATAAGGCATAGTACATAAATATCCAGTTAACCTTGTCCTTAGAAGCTGGAGTTGCAGTAAGGTGATTTGTATAGGGCGTAGTGGTCTCTACATCAGAGTCCTTGCTGCACACACCCACGTGTCATCTGTGTGTGATCTGAGGACAGGAAAGTCGTCCACTGCAAAGCATGGGGGCTGTGTTGAGTAGGTAAGCAGGTACCAGGTCAGCATCCTCGTCACGCCCTGCCAACAGGGACCCTACCTTCAAGAAGCAGTAAGACAGTGAGAAAGTTATGTTGGAACCTCACATTCGCTGTCCACTTGGATGTATGCAGGTCGTCTAGAAATTAGAATTACCATCTTGCTTTCAAGTACAGTTCATCAGAGTCAAACAACTAAAATATTTTTCACCCAGGTAGATTGCTTTTCACTTCTGTTTTCTTAGGCATTGTTTTCCTGTGGTTGACATCGCCAACCAGCAGGTCAGAAAGTAGTTAACCACGAAGACCTAAGGCTGAGCCAGACGTTCATGCCGTGATTTTTACATTTCGACCTTAGAATGATCGAAACATCAAGGTTGAAATCCAGTATAGCACTGAGGAGTGTTTGTAATCCTCTGCTGGGCTGTTGCTATCTTCACCGCATGAAACCTGTTCAGTGACTAGCATCTTAAAAGTTTTTGATAGTTCTCTCTGTGTCCCCTTTCTCTGCTTCATTATATGTTCCTCTGATGATTACAGTTTACTTTTTTGTCCCTTTTCATTTATTTTGCCCCATTCTGATTGCAGATTTGGAAGCAAAAAGCTCAATATCTCCAACACAAGCAGAACAAAGCAGAAGCTACAACTGTGAAAAGAAAAGCATGCAGCTCAGAAGGTCCCCTGAAGGTGAAAGGTAGTGACCTTAGCTCTCGTGGGCTTGGCATTTCTTTCCCCAAGACAGCACTGTGAATCGCTTCCTTACTGGGAAATTAGGGGAGATGACTGAATATTATAGGTGTCCCAAAAAAGTCTTAAATCAGAAGTCGGTGAGCTTTTCCTATCAAGGGCCAGAGAGTAAATATTACATGCTTTGTGAGTGATATGCACTCTGTCACATATTTTTTATTTTCTCTATGACCTGTGAAAATAGGCCAAATTGGTGCACAGTCTGTAGTTTTGTTTGTGCCTGGTACAACTTGTAGAAAAGGAAGAAAGTCATTTTGGTGGCACTCAAGGCCTGGGAGTGAGCATTCACCTCTCATCTCTGTTCTCAGCTGCTTCTGCAGGAGTACTCTCACCCCAGAAGAAATCCCCCCCCACCACCATGCTGTTACCAGCGTCACCAGCCAAAGCCCCTGAGACCGAGCCCATTGACGTGGCAGCCCACCTCCAGCTGCTGGGAGAGTCCCTCAGCCTCATCGGACACCGCCTGCAGGAGACTGAGGTGAGCGTGACTGCCACCCTCTCCGTCTCTGATGCGCTCGGAGCCTGTCCCTCATTCCACGTGTTTACTGAGTGACTGCTTTATAGTTGATGCTCTGCACTCGGTGATAAAGGCGACCTATGGGGTAGAACCATCTCCAAGTGTCCACCTACTCGCTCTCAAAGTTCACACTGCAATTATGACACCAAAAGTTGGAATACCCTATTCCTTTTTTTCCAGTTATACTGAGATATCATTGACATAAAACCCTGTCATTTAATTTTAACTTGCAGAAATGCAATGGAAAAGTAAAGTAAAAATCTTGTGACGTTTTAGTCACTTTACTTCTTTGAAAATAAGAGTTTGAATTTGTGCATTTCTACACAGTTTTGAATCGGCTAGACGAGACCTAGGGGGTGCAGAGCCCTCTGCACCGGCAGTAGGCAGCAGACGGGGCGGGGGCGCTTCGTCGCTGTCCTGGCACTACAGTGCCTTGTGCCTTGGGGGAGCTTTGTTCGAAAGCTTCAGTCAGCTTCAAAGCCACTTAACCTGCAGAGTTGTCGTTCCATTTCTGTTACCATATTCAGTTTCTGACCTTATCGCCCCTTGGCAGACTCAGTGCTGTGGTACTTCAGTGGGAACCAGCGCCCATCCAGAATAGGATGTTTCTGCAAAGAAGTCATCCTAAGCTCCTAAAGCTATGTTTATACCATGTCCTTGTAGAAATATAAAACAATTGCTTCTATGTAAAATTTGAATGTTCCACAACTAAAAGAAAATGGCCACAAGAGATGGATGAAACTATTATCTAAGTGCTTTGCCCAGTTTCCATAAAATACTAACAAGCATCCCAGTAATTGGTGAACTTCCATATAGTTTCATTTTTTTAAAAAGATTTATTTATTTATGCACACAAAACTGGCCAGAGCAGGAGTTGGGGGAGGGTGAGAGAATCCACCAGAGACAGAATGGAGAGCAGAATAGGTAGATCCACTGAAACACTGCTGAGGGGAGCAGCAGGTGACAGGAGAGGTCCACTGTACCACTTGCATCAGCTCCCCAGCAGGGAATCAAATCCATGCTGCAATGGCTGGCAATAGCTTGACAGCACCAAGACTTGACCCCTTGCACCACCAGGGAGGCCCTAGTTTCAATATTTAAATGGATTTAGATAGCTGCAAATTTTCCTGTGATCTTTACTTACGTTTCACAGTTAGACATTCTTAAAATTCCCTTAAAAGTTAGAAACAGGGGCCCTCCCTGGTGGCGCAGCGGGTTAAAGCACTGCACTAAGAAGCTGAAACCACTTCCGCATGAGTTCGATTCCCGCCTGCCCCGGAGGTGACCACATGCAGACCTCTCCTGACCCGCCCGCTGCTCCCCTCAGCAGTGTACTTGGTCGCTCTTCCTGCTCCTCCCTCTGTCTCTGGTGGCTCCTGCACCTCTGGCCTGCACTCTAGTTCTGTATGCATAAATAAATAAATCTTTAAAAAAAAAAGTTAGAAACAAGGCCCTCCCTGGTGGCGTGGCAGGTGAAAGCACAGCATTAAAAAGCTAAAGCCACATCAGCGTGAGTTCGATCCCTGCCCCGGAGGTGACCCACAGAGTGTGGCAGACCTCCGCTGACCTGCCCACTGCTCTCCTCAGCAGTGTATTTTGTCCATCTGCCTGTTCTGCTCCCCACACTGTCTCTGGTGAGTCCTCTCACTGCTCCTGCACCTCTGGCCTGCACTCTAGTTCTGTATGCATAAATAAATAAATCTTTAAAAAAAAAAGTTAGAAACAAAAATAATGTTTTATGTGCCTTCCATAGTCTAGATTTTCACTGTCTTTACATTTAGTTTAGCAAATATTTGTTGAGTGCCTAGGCATTATTCTAAGAACTTGGAGGGATAGAAAACTAATCCCCTTCTGGTGACACCTGTTCATCCAGAGGCTTGCCTCTAATTGGTAAGATAAAATGTTTACATAACTAGTAAATTGAAATAAGCAGCTAGCTTCTTTGGGGAGTCATTATGAGAAATTACATATAAAGGGAAAGAATTTTGCTGATTTTCAGTTCACTTTTTTTTTATTATAGTCTTATTGAGATACAGTTTACATACCATAAAGTTGACCTTTTTAGAAGGTAGAACTTAGTGGGTTAAAGTGTTTCACAGCATTGTGGACCCATCACTGCTATCATATTCCAGAACATTTCGGTATCCCTAGAAGAATTGCCATTTCTATTAACAGTCCCTTCCCATTTCTCACCTTACTCCACTTATTCTCAGACTTTAGTTACGTGCATATATCCTTATACTTGGGTATCTCTGTCTACCTCTTACGCTATTTACTTTATTTATTTATATCCTTAGTATACAAGTGTGATGTTCTCATTTTTTTCCATTACACATCAAAATGGGTATTAGATAACAGAATAATTTTTGTTTACCTATATGCCACCTGAAACTACTCACTGCACTTTAAGGAACATTGATTTACACAGTTTGCAACCTTAAAGGTTGACTACCTGAAGCCCAATGTGTGACTGTACAGTTCACACACTGCTCGTGATGGAGCTCAGCTTGCCTCCCTTCTGTAGCCCTGTCTCTGTGTGAGAGAGCCCTGTCTGCTCTGTGTCCGCTGAGGCGCAGAGGTACAGAGGGCAGAGCATCGGGAGGGTCAGCCAGGAGAGCCTTTGTGAAAGGGGGCGTGTGCAGACTGGGCAGGCAAGGCTGAGGACGGCGTGTGCGCTGTGGAGGTGAGGGAGCGAGGCTTTCCTGACAAAGAAGGCGGCCTTCATCTCTGTCTTTGGATTCAAGGTCGTCTGCAGACATGAGTGAAAGGAGCCCCATGTCCAGTCTAGCCAGGTCTTTCAGGTGGTTCCAAAAAGGCTTTGTTGGAAAATGGTTTTACTGCTAAAGTGATGAAAAACTGTGCAAGGTGAGGGAAGGAAGCAAATGAAAGCTCGGCTGGGCCATGTCACACAGGCTCAGCATGGCTCTTCATTCCTGCCGTTGAGGACTGCGGGGGTGGTTTGAGTAAGAAGGGAATGTGATCAGAGTTTGCCTTTGTTTTTCTCTATCTTCTATTTTAAATTGAGAGTGAGAAAAGTCTGGAATTAGGGAATTATAAAAATAATCTAGATAAACAGGATTGAATTTAATAACAAATGTATGTCAAGAACTTACTGTGTGTAGAACACTGGTGGTTTGTGGAAGGGTAGAAAAAGGGATAGGACATGGTTCCTACCCTCAAGGAGCTTATATTCTATTAGGAGACTCCGGCTCTGATTAACTGTAAGGCAAAAGTAATGAAAAAACAGTACTGATTACTAATTTCCCTTGAATATTTCTTCAGCCTGCTGTGGGTCAGAGTGCTTTCTATGGATTCTTATATTTAATTCACACTGTAGCTTTGTGTGGCAGAATTTTTGTTCCCTCTGTTCTGTAGAAGCAATAAACAGGCTTAATGAGGTTAAATAACTTACTGTAGAGTTCAGCTCTTCAAATGGCCTTGAATTTGGGGGCATGACCTTATGGCCCACCCTCTTACACCTTTATTGCCTCCCCTGGCAGGAGAGGCCGGGGACATGGCAGGAGGAGGAGGAAGAGAAGAGCAAACCATGGCCAGGTCTTGGCTAGACTGAGCAGTTTTATGAGGAGAAAAGGTGCTAGGTGGGGGGGCGCCCATTTGTTTTACAGCATGTCCATTGAGAAATGCCCAAATGGGAGACTTAGCATCCAGCCAGAAATGCAGTCCGGAGCTGAAGATGTGGGTAGTTCCTGATAGCATGTTTACTCAGAAGACTACTGATACCTTTCTCACAAGGTATTTGTGACTACCAGACTCTGAGACCTTTGGTGCTCCTGTAGCAAACGCACTCGGTGTGGCTTCCCACATTGCAAACCCACCCCAAGAGCTTCATTTCTGTTACCTCCCCAGCCCCTCTGGACTGCTCCTGCTATTAATACTCTACTGTGCCAGCACACAAAGTCAAATAAGTGGAGAGGGTATGTGTGTTATATTAAATGTTAATGTGTTGGCCTGTGGAAATCTCAGTCTTCATATTTGAGCTCCATTTGTGGAGTTTATAAGAAAAATGATTTTGTATACTTGTTTCCCACAAATCTTCCCAGAAACTCTGGATATCTTTACTATTCCTGTTAAGTGACTTCCCCATAGAGGGTAAGGCGATTTAGGAATATAGGAAGGAAACCTGGGAATGTATTACAAAAGTTTTCATTTTGAACAACTCGCAGTTATCCAAGCCAGTATTTTCCATTCCTACTGCACGTTTATAGAACTGCCTGAGCCTTAAAGAACCACGTGAGGAAGTGCGCCTGAGAGAGCCATCTCCTTCCTCTAACACTCTCCCTTTCAGGGCATGGTGGCTGTGTCTGGCAGTTTGTCGGTGCTTCTGGATTCCATTATCTGCGCGCTTGGCCCTTTGGCGTGTCTGACCACACAACTACCTGAACTGAACGGCTGTCCCAAACAGGTCTTGGTGAGTTCTCCCTGGACCCAGGGGAGTCAGAGAGGCTGAGCCCTAGTGAACCTGTCAGGCCTGAGCCCCTCGGCCTGACAGTGCTGGTAGTGCTCCCTGGAGCCCACGGACGCGGTGCTGTGCTGTGGCATGCCACGCTTCTAGTGGCCCTGGAGTTCTGCCTCATACCAAAACAGCCCTTCGGGAAGGGCACTTTGGCCCTTGAGTACCATGCCGCCTCAGTTTTCCTGTTAGCACTTCTGTCACTAAGAAAGCAGGGGTTCTCTGCCTCTTTCGGCCAGGATTAGTGGACAGAATCTGCAGAAAAGCTCCTAGCATTAGCAGGGACATTCTCACCATTTGCTCTAACTCTAGTTTTTTCTTTCTCATCTTTCTCTCCTCAACAGAGAAACCTGTCTCATGAACTTAGAAACTCCCCTTCAATTGAACCTTTTTTTTGTTTTGTTTTGCAGTCAAATACACTAGACAACATCGCTTACATCATGCCTGGACTGTGACAGCAAAGGCTCTTGGGACAGAAACCTTATCCTATCCCATTGCTGGTTTGTGTGTATATGACTGTTCAGATCCCTTCTCTGGCTTCAGGGTGTAGGTTTTAAATTTTATATATAGATACGTACACACATACATACATATAATGTATAGTATATACATAGGACTATAACTACTTTGCTTTTAATCATTTTATGAAATGGCAAAGGTGGTGTGGCCAGGAGGAAGTCTCGGCGTGAATAGGGGCTTAGGGTTCCTTTTTCTCCTGTGGTGGGTAACTCTGCCTTAAAAATCAGTGTAACTTGGGACTGGGGGCTTGTTCTGGGTGCCAAGTGCATCTCTTTATGGACAGCTAAAATGTGATTTTTTTTTTTCCGTACTCAGTTGTACCTCCAGACCCATCACTGACCATTTGCCTTACCTGTCGTACGGTCTGAAATGTGTTAGGAAAGATGATGGGAAGATGCCCATTGACTGAAAGTGCAGAGCCTTTCATCTTGAGGTGGCTGAGTTATTACAGTGGCTTAGGTGGACCTAGCAGGGGTTTGGTGCAATTCCTGCTCAGCAGGCGTCCATGTCTCAAAGTGCATTGTAATCATTGGTACCATTGGTAACCTCAGCAGAGACCGAGGAGTTGTGTGCGCCCTGTCAGCTTAAACACCTCGAAGAGGGTGAAGTTGTCACTGTCCCTGGTTGAACCACATAGATTATTCTAAGCTGAATATTCCAGAATATTCCATCTGCAGAACCAAGAGCTGGGTGTGTTCCACTGGTTGCATTCACGTAGCCCCTGAGTCCTCACAGGTCTGCTGCTCAGCTGCTCAGTGGTTGTGGGCAATGAACTTGCCAGCGTGGCTGGGTTCATTGTGTTGGCACTCCCATGAGCACGCGCTGCGTGGTGTTCTGCGGTCCGCACACGAGTGAACTGCAAGGAAGGCGGTTCTCATGTAGGATTATTTATGTGCGCGTTTGAATGTATGATTTAATTATGTGTATTTAACTCTTTAAAATCTCCTAGATTTTAATTTATCCTGTAAATTTCTGTATATATAATTTAATAACAAAGCCTCCACCAGCAGCAGCATGTGGAAGACACAGATTTGTCATTTTTGTTCCTCCTTCCTTTATCTGGTTTCCTCTGAAAACTCCATTTACATTTTAAAGTATTGTGCATCAAAAGGAATCATTATGCTGAGATTTCTCATTCTTTAAAAAGATCTTCATACCCTTCAATAATGTGAAAAAGTTAAATAAAAAGGAATGTTGCCATTCCCCGTTCCCTTATTTCCAAAGGACCAGACTTTGCTTCCCAGTTGCGTACAACAGTTGAACATTTCAGGGTGGTTTTAACTTTGGTGTGAGAGTCCCTGCCAGCCAACTTTTCTTGTCCAGGCCTAGACAAACCACAGCATCAGAGTACGTCTTTGAGGACAGAGCAACCGTCCTGTTTTAGTTCTTCCCTTCTCCACACCGGTGTGGGCACAGGGCTGTTTTTTAAAAGCAGTTTGGCTGCTGAAATGCCTTTCTTAGCTCAGCACAGTTTTGAGATTAATCTGGGAGACAGAAGGAAATGGGACTATTTGGGAAACAAGAAGAGCAGAAATCTGGGTTTGATTCCACGCGTTAGAACCCGTATCATGCCTCCTCTGTGCCCGTGGAATTTCCGCTTTGGCACAGCGTACCAAGGAGGGGCCTTGAAGACATGGACTCAGCTGACATTGTCACTTGTATCCATTCATGAGATCCTGATGAGGACCTGCTTTTTTGTTGTTTTCCTTTGAAGTCCAACCCTATGTATTTGTATTTAAAATTTGTACACATTTGTATAATAATCTGTACCTTGTGGTATTTGGTACTATTAGAGAAAAAACTTTGGATTCAGACCTTGCAGTTTTTATATCATTGTTTTATTTTGTTTTTTAAATAAATCTTAGTGGTTTGGTCCAAATCCCATTACAGTTGTATAAAGAAATAAAATTTTGTACTTATATTATTAAAAATCACATTTTTAATATTTGTAGTCCAGTCTCAGGTATCTTTTCCCTGCTGTTAACTAAAGTTGCTATGAAGTTATAACATCTATATTTTACCCTCTTAAAAAAAAAATCAGTCTGGAATTGAGGTCAAGTTTCTAATCTTAGCCATAGCCATTTTCACGACATACATCTCACTATTTCTATTAACTTTTACATTACAGAGGTTCTTGTGTTCTCTTTTTTGCAAGCCACAAACCCAGTGACTCTTGGTAACCCAGTGACTATTCACTGGCAAATGAAATTGTATGTACATTCAAGTTTTAGCCTAACTCAATGACATATCAATCTTGTATAAGGGTAGCATGTGCTAAAATGTATTGTTTTTTTCGGTACTCTTAGTAGGGTTGGATAAGTCAATCATCACCTCCATGTTTCCAAGCCTGCAGCTTGCCAATTTGACATGAATGTTTAGAACATTACAGTGAACATTAACTATATGGAGCTTTAACGTTCAAGTCAAAAATATCAGTGCAAGCACAAGGCACTAATAGTCATAGTGAAATATTAAGAGTGGTCAAAAGGCTTAAAGGAAGAGGCAGCAAGCAAGAAACCGCTGTTACTACTTACAGATGATATGCCTGCCTGTTGTCACAAGCCTCCCAGAAGTCTTTAAGTATTATCCCCTTCACAAATGAGGGAATGCAGAAGCAGAAAGTACTTTGCTACATTTTTACAGCTGGAAGGTGCAAGTCCTGCTCTTCCATTTTGGAGGTGAGGCTGAGACAAGTTCACCTGCCCAAGTCCGTTTCATGCTGAATGACGTGTACCTCATCAGACTCTTTGATGTACCACATTGGGCAAATGTGATTGTAGGAGAACTGTCTTGAGCCTTTCTCATTGTTCACCTGTCCTTATGTCCTGACTTACCGTGCCATCCTCACTTTTCTTGCCATGCTATTATCATCTTTAAACTTTGGAGACGCTATAGTTTGACTTTTGTCTGAATGTGCTTTAGGACATAATAGATTACATTTTATGCAATTTGTCAATATTATAGGACTTAAAAGGTTTAGCAAGATAAAATATTGCTAAAATACTTAAAAGGAAAAGTTAAGAACAGATTTTTCCTAAATGTTTTCTCCTTATTAGCACATACTTTTAAAACCAGGCTTTAATCGGTTTTGTAGTATACTTGATATCTGTCTTTTACATTCTTACCTTGTTGGCAAATCCATGTACTTCCATTTCTGATTTGATTCTACATGAGATTACTGTAGGGTATAATGCTAAATTATACCCATACACCCCCAAGCAGTATGTTTAAATGAAGAAAGAAGTTATCTGACATGAAGTTCATCTTCAATGAACTGCCCCTTATGGTCCAAATAACACTAACGAGCACTTTCAGTGTCGTGTTCATTATTTCTAGACACAGCCTGGACAGAGTATCCCAGCCTTCATCAGGCATCGATCCTAGTGTGGTGGGGGAGCACAAGCCTTGGCATTATCAGAACACTTCAGTGTGCCGGCATACATAAGTTCCATAAAGTCTATACTGTACAGCAAAGGAATCGGGCTCAATGGTGGTTCGCACGGGTTAACACAAGCGTAATTGAGTACTCATTCTGGTTTTACACTATCCAGAATTTTGTTTAGTCAGTACTAACCTTTCAGATTTAAGAATCACAGACATGACCCATAAACAGTAAATGGCCTTGGAGTGGCTCGAACTATAGAAGCACTGGTTATTGTATCTGGTTGTGGGTGTCAGAAGGGGAAACCTGCCTTGTGTGGGGCAACAGGGAGGTGCTTCAGGAGAGGTCACAACTGCAAGGCTGGGAAAAGCCTTTGGGATGCTGTACTTGGAGGAGTAACTGAGGTTAAAACGTCTTTTCTCAAAGGAACCGCTAACCTTTTTGGGGGGTCGGGGTAAACTCCCAACTCCAGCATTCAAAGAAAATGAAAGCTCACTGCTTGAGTCACACAGTTGACGGCAGACAGGGTCCCAGGCCCTGTCGCGACTGCCTTCGTGTGCCTGCTGTCTCTAGCCCGGCCCCAGCAGCGGCTCCGAGTGGGCTCCCCGAGACCAGGGATCACAAGCCCCTAGTCTGTGCCTCCTATTTGAGGGAGTACAGGCTGGGCGCATCTTTTCGCGGGGAGACCGACGCAGAATACTATCCTGCCAGGGAGACCCCAAGCCAAAGGCTGTCCCTCGATGGGGTGGGTGTGCACTCAGCCGGAGTCAGGGGTGGGGGCCGCTGCGGGGTTTGCAGAGAAACCTTACCCAGGTCATTTGCCGGCTCAGACCGACTTTCCCCACAGGCAGAGTACCAAACCACGCCCCCGTGGGGCTTGGCCGGGGGCCACGCCCCGTGCCGTCCCTCCAGCGGAGCGTGACGTCCGTCCACTGCAGGAAGACGCCGTGAGGTCATCGCCCTCCGCCTCGAGGCGCCGGGCCCTCACGTCAGGGGCGTGGCCCGCGGCCGCGCACCGGACTCCCAGCGCCCCGCCCCGCCGCGCCTCCTCGCGGGCCGTCCGGCGCGTCACGTGACGGTTCGGCGGCGCTGGCGGTTGCTGTCAGCTGATTCCCCGGCTCGGTGGCGGCAGCAGCCGTGGCGATGGACTTTCTCCTGGGGAACCCGTTCAGCTCTCCGGTGGGACAACGCATCGGTGAGTCTCAGGAGCCCCGCACAGCCTCGCCGCAGAGCTCCGTGCCCGGCTCCGACCCTGGGGGCGCCCCAGATCCCCAGTCACACACCCGAGGGAGGCGGGGAGGCGACGGAGCTGGCGTGTCTCTCCCCGGCCTGGCCCCGCCTTTTCTCCCGCCCACCTTGATTGACAAGAGCCGCGGCCCTTTAGGAGGACTCAGCTTGTGATGGATGCCTACGGCCGCCAATAGGTAGAGAGAGAGGGCGGGGCACCGGCTCAGCCTGAGCGCGGTTGCCGGGGTCGTGAATCCTGGGACAAAGTTTTGGAGGTTAAAGGGACTACGTGTTGGGTGTCCTTGCGCTCCGCGGCTGATCCCGGCCCGAGTGGCGCCGGCTGCGTTCTTGTGATCTCCTTCCTGGTCGCCGGGCTTTCCGGACACGGATACCTGAGAAGGACCTGAATGAAGTCCATTCTCCTAGACCCGTGGGACCAGGGCTTGGCGTCTGGGCGGGTGGGGTCAGGCGGCACCGCCTCCGCCCGGCCCGGGCCACAGCGGGAGAGCCCGCGGCTAGGCGGGCCCAGGTCTCAGGACGTGCCTGCTCTGGTTGCTCTCACCGGCCACGGCAGATCGGCCGCAGAGAGGCGTCTTCCCTTGGAGCTGGGGGTGATCTTAGAATCCAGCTGATTCGTCCGCGCTTACTCTTGGTAGATGGGACAGCCGACCACTCGGGCTGCGTGGCCCAGCTTACTCAGCCCTCTCCTGACTCTCCTAGTCTCTGGGGACAGACGACTAGTTCTGTGACTGGGTTGCCTCACCTGTAATTAGGGAATAATGGTTTCTGCCTCTTTGGGATTGCTGTGAAGATTTAATTCCTTAACAAATATAAAGCCTTAAAGCAGTGCCTGGCGGGTGGCCAGTGCAGAACGTGGCGTTGTGTATGATCATTGTTACTGAGATACCACAAAGTGAAGGTGGGAATGCCTGGAAATGGCTGGGCCTGGCAGGGATTCACTCTGCCGCAGCAACCTGGGGCCACCCCCAGGTCATGGCCCAAGCAGCAAACAGGTGTCAAGGGACACTGGGGGTGCACCCCTTTTTATCTGAAGAAACCACAGGCAGTGCTCTGGAACCCTCCATCTTGTTGAGGGTTTTAGCCTGAAGTCCGGAATGGAGAATTTGGATCCTTCAGACAGAACATTCTTTCCATTCTTATTGTCTCAGTAGCCGAACTTCACTGAAGTCCCTCCACCCAATGCTCTTGTAATCGTCAGCATGGCTGTTTGTGTCTCTTCTGCGGTTTTGTAATCAGAGGTGGGTGGCCGTGCAGGATTTACACATCAGGAAGCTGCTCTCCCAGAACCCTGGCCTCTTGAACCCTCTCCTGTCCCCATCACACTACACACACACACAACCAGTGAGTCATTGTTTTGGAGCTGAAAGGAGAAGCCACTCTTCTCCCATCTTTATTTCTCCAACTGCAGTTACCACTGCTTTTATCACATGCCAAGTTCGAGACTTCCTACTTAAAAAAATCTGACCTTCAAAGTCAAACACTATTCCTAAGGCTTTTTTGAAAATGTCAGCTGGGGGCCCTCCCTGATGTCACAGCAGGTTAAAACACAGCTCTATGAAGCTGTCATAGCCACTGCAGCACAGTTGGGTCCCCAGCCCCAGATGTGACCTGCATTGTGCAACAGACCTCTCCTGTCTCCCCGCTGCTCCCCTCGGCAGTGTATTTCACTTGATCTGCCTGTTCTGCTCCCAACTCTGTCTCTGGTAAATCCTCTCACTGCCCCTGCACCTCTGGTCTGTACCCCAGTTCTTGTATGTATAAATAATGTATCTTAAAAAAAGAAAAAAAAATGTCACCTGGGCTCTGGACGTGGCTGATCAATGAAAAGTTAGTTTCTCCTCTAACCCTAAAGGGTTGCTTTGCCTAAGCACGAAATACTTTGTCCAGAGAGAATTTACTAAATCAGAACACCTTAAAACTCAAACCAAATTTTGCTCTTGGAAGGGTCTTGACCTTGGGGACTTCCTAACTCGAGGTCCTCCTCTGAATCCCCGGAGGACTTGGTAAAGCCAGGAGGTAGGGCCTCATCCCTGTGTTTCCAGCTCTGTGAGTCTGGGATGGCTCCAGCAATGTGCATTTCTAGAGGTTCCCAGCATTGGGACCCACACGTTGAAAACCTTTGTCTCGTTTGTTTCCTTCGAGTCACCCAGGTAGACAGATGAGAGGGGCAGGTAGAGTCTGTCATTCGCCACGACCAGTGCATTCATAGTGCACAGAGAGGAGCTCCCCAGAGCCACTGACATGTGAACCAACGCTGAGTCTAGAGGCAGAATGAAGCGAAGATTAGCTACCAGTTGTTAGTGTCCTCAGTTATCTAAGGAGCGGGACGGACTGTGGGGTATGACTGTTGATGATCTAGATTACTGCTTATATTTCCATAAGCCTGGTCCCTCTTACTACAGGGGTAAAATGATCTCAAGTCTACTGCCACTAACTTCTTTCTGAGAACAGAGCCCTGAGGACTGGCCTCCCTGTGCCCTGAGCTGCTTCTGGTGCTCATCCAGGGCACTTATCCTCCACACACACCTCTGTGCTGCTTTCCCCTTGGCCGGCTGTGCCCGCTCCTGTGTGCATCCTTCAAAGCCCCAGTGACTATCCCCTCCTCCGTGAGGCCTTCCCTGCTCAGAGCCAACCACTGCTCCTCTGTGCTCCTGTCACACAGCTCCCCTGTGACTCTGAGCCATCGTGTCTTTCTCGGTGTCCTGGGGACTATAACCGCCTGCACTGGCTAGGCACCCATGAGCATGAAGCGAGCTGCTTCCCCAGAGAGCACTTGGGCAGTACCCAGAGGGCGGGAAACAGCGGCTTGTTTTGTCATTCCCACCGCCATTAGCCCACTGAAAAGCACAGTTCCCTCTGCTGATAGTCATGTGTGCCCACGGCCGGGCTGCACTTCCCGAGCACGGGGACCCACAGCAAGTACTTCGGTACTTGGCAGCTGGGAAGAGGGAAGCCAGAACAGGAAGGTGTATTCTGTGACCAATGCACTTGCAGGTGCCGCGCTAGTATCCTAGGTATTAATGTGCACCACGACCCTCCGGGTTCACTTTCTCCCCATTTTACAGAAAATAAGTGTGAAGGCGGGTATTGCTTCCCTGGGCCCCGTAGCTCTTAGGGCGTGGCGTCTGGACCCAGGTTCATCAGCTGCGGGCAAGTCCTCTCTAACCTCGCCCCCCACCTCCCCAACCCTCGCTGAGTGATCTGAGTTTGTTGGGATAAACTTTAGTGCAGCCCTCCAAGATCTAGTGTCATTGTTCTAGATTATTCAAAGGTTGGGGTTCCTGATTAAGATGTTCATGACTTGTGTCTCCAGGCGCTCGATAGGATCCCAAGGGTAGCAGCCTGTGGCTAAGAGGATCCCAGATAATTAGGAGGAGTTAATGTTGACATAGGACTCCTCTCCAAGGATTTCAAAGCCCGTCCCCGGTATTCTCTGAGGACAGAGCTGGCTGACGCTGGCCGATGTCAGAGGGTAGCCCGTTTTCCATTCTGGCTGCCAGCGCAGTCCGACCCCAGCCGGGTCTCTGACCATAAGCTGTAAACAAGACACTGTACTGGGGACCGGCCCCCTAAGTCAGGGTTCACAGTTTGCAGATCTCTGGGTTAAACCAACTCGTCCTCCAGAATGATAGAGGGCAGTGTTCTTTGGAGTGGGGTCCCAAGCACCTCCTTGAGATTCTTGCAGGTGCCCCCCAGCTCCAGGTCCGAATTTCACTTGAGCCCACACACATGAAGCCGCACCTCCCCCGTGCACCCATCTGTGTTTGAGGAGAACGAGGACTGTCAGCCGCAGCCTGGTATGGTACACAGCCAGGCAGGGTGAGCCCTGAGCCAGACCAGACGGCCGAGTCCTGCCTCTGCTTCATCTTTGTTACCTACAGCAAGTCCATTAGCCTCTGTCCTGGAAAACAAGGGTAACCAGAGCCCCTCTCAGGTGGGCTTGTAAGGTGTTGGGAAGCACTGGGCCTGCTGGCTGCCAGACAGTGTGGACAGGTGGGTCATAGTTAGCCAGTGATGTCGCGGGGGCGCCCTCTTGGCCGGAGCATGGTCTGAATTAGTGGCAGAGCCAAGTGCCACCCCACGGCCCTGCCTCTGTCAGCCTCTGTGCTGCTCTCAGAGTCTGGCAAAGAGCAGTCACTGGCTGTGTGGCCCCATCAGGACAGGTCAGGTTCCAGGCAGGCTGTGGGTGGGGCCTTCTCTCTGGGGAATGAGATCCTGCCTGGCCCGGGGCTGGACTGCTGAATAGGTTTTGTTCCCTCACTGAGCTCAAAGAAGTAGAGAGAATCCCCAGATTTCCGCTCTTCTGGTTTTAGAAAAAAACAAAAACCCTTATTGTGTTCTGATTAGCTTGGGCTGAATCCCCCTGTGAAAAATGGGGGTCAGTCAAGTTAACTCTTTAGCTCCCTACAAGGAGGACGAGCCAGGCCCGGTCCTGTCCAGGTCCTGTCTCCTGTCCAGACTGCACCTCCGTGGTCCTTGGCTAGCCCGGTGCTGCCTTCAGTTCTTATCAGCTCACCTTTTAAAATTTCACTTCGTCTTGAGTGATTATATTCTTTAAGCTGTGACTTTAATGAGCCAGCTCCTGACTTGCCTTTTTCTCCCTGCGCCACATTAAGGCAAATCCGCACTCACAAAGTGTGAGTCTGTCTGTGAACCCACCTGACATGATCCCGGAAGCACATTCCGGCCCCTCAGACGTGTGCAGCCTGAATAGGTTCAACATTTGGACCCTGCGTCAAAGATTTGGTTCAGGTGCCAGCTCCTCACTTTCCCTGCCGTGTCCCCAGGCAAGCGACAGAACCTTTGAGGGACCTCAGAGGACTTGGGAAAGCTGGCAGTGAGGCAGCCCGCGGCGTACCTGGGGCAACGTACCTGGGGCAACCGCCTGGCAGGCTTCAGGCTTCGCCCCTGAGGGCAGTAGAGGAAGAAAGGGAAGAGCAGGGAGAG